GAAAGTCAGTCAAATCTGAGGACTCCTCCCCTTCATGGGGGATTCATCTCTGATAGAGGTGGCCAACTTCTACTTATATTTTCGCTTTCATGGAGTTATGAAGAGAGACATTTATGAAGCCAAAGCCAGCCAAGAAGCGAACATCGGTCAAATCTAAGGACTCTGCCAGATTTCGCTCTAAAATCAAGTTCAAAAGTTGGCTGCCCCTGTCATGCAAGTCAATACCAGACAAGAAGCAAAAGTCAGTCAAATATCAGGACTTGGACAAGTCTTGTTTGTGTGAAATCCACCAAAGCCAAGAAGATCGTAAAAAAGCGAAAATATACATGTACAAGATGGCCACCTCTATCAGAGGTGAACAGCTTGGTCCCTGCTGTGCATTTCTGCATAACACCTCTGCAATTCACAATTTTGGTGTTTCATAAGGCAGATACAGGCAGGATCTAACACTCTGAACCTTGGAAACAAATCAGCAAGATTTATTTGCTGGTGCATCACAGTGGCATTGAGCGGTGAGCAGGCCCCCTCTGAGAGGACCGCATTCTTGCTTATGTAAGCAGCAGCAGCAGCACCACACTCTCCTAAGATCGATTTTTACAGCCTTCATATGACTTGGGGAGGATAAGGTAGGACTTGATTTTGAGGTTATTGAGCAATACAAAGACCATGGTCATGCCAGATTTGCACGAAGAAATCAATTCTCAAAGTTGACCACCGAGGTCATGCTGGCCCCCCACACATCGATTTTAACAGCCTTGATATGACCTGCTTGACTTCAGGCATGACTCATTTTAGAGGTTATTGGACCATACAAACATGTTGGTCATGCCAGATTTCCCTCTTAAAATCATATTCCAAATTTGACTACAACCCCTGTCATGCCCCTCCCCCCCCACCCAAAGATCGATTTTTTCAGCCTTCATATGGCTTGCTTGGCTGTATCTAGGACTCTTTCTAGAGGTTATTGGAGCATCTGAACACATTTGTCGAGCCATAATTGCACAATAAAATCAAATTCCAAAGTTGACCCCCTAGGCCATGCTGGCCCCCCCACACATCGATTTTTACAGCCTTCATGTGACTTGCCTGGCATCATGTAGGACTTGATTTCGAGGTTATTGAACACTACGAAAAGGATTGTCGAGCCAGAATTGCACAAAGAAATCAAATGCTGAAGTTGACCCCCTAGGCCATGCTGGCCCCCCCACACATCGATTTTTACAGCCTTCATGTGACTTGCCTGGCATCATGTAGGACTTGATTCCGAGGTTATTGAGCACTCCGAAAAGGATGGTCGAGCCAGAATTGCACGAAGAAATCAAATGCTGGAGTTGACCCCCTAGGGCATGCAGGCCTCCCCCACATATCGATTTTTACAGCCTTCATATGACTCGCAAGGGTTGATGTAGGACTTGTTTCCGAGGTTATTGAACACTCTGAAAAGGATGGTCGAGCCAGATTTGCATGAGAAAATCAAATTCCGAAGTTGACCACCAAGGCCATGCTCCCCCACCCAAAGATCGATTTTTTCAGCCTCCATATGGCTTGCTTGGCTTTAGCTAGGACTCGTTCTTGAGGTTATTTGACCATACAAACACGTTGGTCGAGCCAGATTTCCCTCTAAAAATCATGTTCCAAAGTTGGCTGCCCCTGTCATCCTCCCCCCACCCAAAGATCGATTTTTTCAGCCTTCATATGGCTTGCTTGGCTTTAGCTAGGACTCGTTCTTGAGGTTATTTGACCATCTGAAGACGTTGGTCGAGCCGGATTTTGCTCTAAAAATCATCTTCCAAAGTTGGCCACCAAGGCCATGCTCCCCCACCCAAAGATCGATTTTTCTAGACTTCATATGACTAGCCTGTCCTTCAGAAGCATTTTTCCTGGGGGTTATTGAGCCCTCTGAACACGATGGTCATGCCAGAATTGCCTGGAAAAATCGTGTTCTTGAGATATACAGGGTCCTCCCCCTCCTCCTGACCTCCTATATGTCACTATCCCGGTATTCCGCATCAATACCGATACTGAAAACATCTCTCCTAGGGTATTCGAGGCCTCTGAATCGATTGGGAATGGTCCCAGACCTTCCGGAGGTCGGCATTCATGTGATATGGGAGGTAGGCTCAAATATCAGTATTTTGGACATATCTCCACAACCGAACCGCCGATTTTCTTAATTGTTGGCTCATATCCATCCCAGAAGTACCCTCCATGATATGTACCAGCCCACCAAAAGATATTTTTTTACAAGTTTGAAACCTATTTCTGTTTTGACCCTATAAGTTCTTTTCTATTTGCTGGAGATTCGAGCAGTCAGAAACGACGCGCTGAGGTACCTGGTGCAACATACCAGGTGAGCAGCCTTGAGCTCGTCTTTGGTCTTGAATGTGATGGGGGAGACGTGGCGGAGGCTGGATTCGGTTAGAAGACAATCAGAGTAAGGAGGAGATATGAGTTTTTCGGTTAGACCCATGGCGTGCAGCCAGTATCTCAAGTATTCCACCTGGGAAGAGGAAAAGAGCAATGGGGAAACCTGGAGTTAGCTTTCGTCAGGCCGGTTTCGCGTCGTATACCAGGGCAACAGATGCACGTCAGAGGTTATAGGGATCTTGCATTTGGTGCGTGCTTCATGGTAACGCCTTTAGGATTGAACTGCACCCAGACTTGTGTGCGATGAGACCAACGCGGTGTGGTGAGCAGAACGAAAAGCGCAAAGACGTACGCGTTCGTAAGAAGAAGCGAGATTCTGGTGGGCTTAACCCCATACAAATCTGATGATGGGCGGGCCAACTTCATGAGGTTGGGCGTTGGGCCAATGGCTATGGTGACCGTACCTCGGCGGGTATGCCTTTGAGGTGAATGATGTGGTTGCGGATCAAAAGAAGAGAGTACGTAATCCGGGACGATGTTTGTTTCTATAGGGTTGAGCGTTGTGCTACAAAGCTGGGCAAACAACGCACCAAACAATAAACAAACAACATTAAGCGGTGCGGATGATCACAAGCGGTAGAGGCGAGGATTACATAATGCGTGACTTATTTTCAATTCGGACAAGAAAGTTTACAAAGGTCAATTTATGTCATTCCAACGCTCTACATATCTACCATATGTAAGGACCAGGCGTTTGATCCCGCGGAACCAATTCGCGTCACCTCCATGTGCGCGCTCCACTCGAGATTTTCCACTCTGACTCACGCGTGTACCCCAAGTCAGGCTTGGCGCTCCAATTGTGCCCCTTTCATGCCCTGGTGCGTTGTGATCCCTCCCAGTTCAACTTCCTTCGTCATGGCGTCCTGCTGCTCCTTCCACGGTATTGTTGGCATTGTGCCTCTATAGAGATAGAGGACGGTTGCAGCAATCTTACTGTCTCCGTTCTCACTTTCGGTGGTGGAACTGCGCCGCCCGATCATGTCAATATTAATGCTCGCATGATTACCGCAATTGCAGGTGATGAGACTGTCGTCCGCAGGCGAGCGGATCACTTGTACGATGTAATATAAGCTGTCCTAATGTGTCCAACGTAATGGATGATGAGACCAACCCGAGGGCAACTTAAAAGAGCGGAGGAGGTTAAGAACTCTGCGGCACGCGATGTATACTGCTTCCAATCCAGGGTTGTGCTAACCAGGTTTGAATGTGATGGGGGAGACGTGGAAGAGGCTGGATACGGTTAGAAGACAATCAGAGTAAGGAAGAGATATGAGGTTTTGGGTAAGACCCATGGCGTGCAGCCAGTATCTCAAGTATTCCGCCTGGGCCGAGGAAAAGAGCAATCGGGTCTCAGAGCTCTGTATCTCATACAACGCAGGTTCTAACTAAGGTGCAGTTACTGTAATTTACGCAACGTTGAAGGTTCTAAGGTACCAAGCGTACGCCTCTTGATTGGTTTTGACCTGCCAAAATGTGAGTGAAGGTGGGCAGCGCGAAGAGGCGTACTAACTTTGTTTTTTTTGAAATGGCGAATTTCTAGCCCCTCGCGGGTCTTGGCTCGAGATAGTGCCACGTACGCCTGCCCTGGTAGTCAAAGAGTAAGACATCTCAGCCTGACGTTAGCGGTAGGCTTACCGTCAGCAAATGCTTTATCAAGATCGACCACAACCTTTTCTAATGTCTGGCTTTGGCTCTTGTGGACGGTCATAGCCCATGCAAGGGACAGCGGTAGCTAGACTGCGCATTAGCTACGGACTTGACAAGGAACATCTGCCATACCTGGAAGCGGCGTGCAACGACTTTGGCTTTAACATTGATTACGAACTCGTTTGGCAAAACCAAAACGCATTCAGGGCTGCCGTCAATCGTGAATTTGACTAGAGGGTATAACCCTGCGACTTCCTTTAGTTCAGCACGTGTTGCAATATGACAATCATCAGGATAATCATTCGCGTTGACCCTGATGTTTCGAAGCAGCCCGACTTTACGGCCAGCGTGATGGCGATCAACTTGTTCCGGTTTGAAAAACCCAACGATTCGTCCGGTGGAACCATTGGCAAGGCCATCGCCCAGGTTTTGCAGAAGCATCACTTGAGCTCCAATTTTGAGGTCGATCTTGCTGTCTACAGGGAAGTCCTTGAAGATCCTGTTGTCCTTTCCTTCGCAAAGGTCGTCAATTGAGTGATAGTGAAAAACGACATCGCCCAGCTGCTGAAGACGATGGGCATTCATGGCAGCTACTTCTTTGCGAGTAGGAAAGAGATAGATGGCATCAACGTGGGGTAGGAAGCTAGGGTTGATGGGTCGCTCGAGCGATTGGAAAAACGCGATGCTGGAATCATCAAGGCAACCGGTCCTGCACTTGTTGAGAGCCGTTACAAACTCTGGATGCATCATCAGAACAATGTCAACGAGTAAAGGGGATGCGGACCCTGGTCTACTTGACGTTGAACTGTAGAAAGCCGAATGGCGGCAGGAAATAAATCAACCCAACACCTTGCCTCAAAGGTGAGGCTGTCCTTTGGGTATAGCACGGGGGGAAGTTGGAGAAAATCGCCCACGCCAATAACCTGACTGACGTATGAGATCTAGTCATTGTAATCTGAAACACTCACTTGAATGCCTCCGAAAGGTTTCTCGATTCCTCGAAGTTGACGAGCGACTCTCTCCAAATAATCCAAATATTGAGCTGTAATCATAGGGACTATAAAATATCGTTGACGAGCTCGATATGCAAAAGGCAGGATGACTCACGCTCATCAATGACCAAGGCTCGGGCAGATAGCCATCTCCCTTTCACAATATCTCTGCGCTCGATTTTCTTGAGCATCTCACGAACACCTTTCTCGTCTCCAGAAAGGCCTGCCCAGGAGTGTAAAGTTTGACCTACTTTGTGAGACTAGTGAGCATGCAAACGGGAGGTAGAGTTTACCTCCAATCTTCAAGGATGATACGCCAGTGCTTGAAGTGACGCCAACATCATCAATACTATTATACTTGATACGCAGCCCTTTAATGATGTATTGCATCAAGTATGTTTTGCCGGTGCCTGAATACAGTTCATAAGGATGGCGAATGACATCATTGGAAAACTGCTTACCAGCGTCGCCAGTGATGAAGACTCCAGCACCATCCATTACCTTCACAAATACAGCTTGCTGCTCCTCGTTCAGACTCGATGTATCTACGTCTGGAAGGTTGAGGTTGGCGCGATGCATATAGTTGCCTATGGGCGCTTGGCCGGTTGGATGACCGTCAAGAAAACGATGTTCTGAAGTCATAAACGAGTGTGAAATGAGGGTTTATGTAGATGTCTGGAGGCACAAGAACGAGTGTATATGGTAAGGGTAAGGTAGAAACGCGAATTAGGGCCTCAGGGTACTATGGGATAATATCACGTGCTAATTTATATCACTGATGAGGTTTGCATTTGCGTACGTGAAAATGGCACTAATCTACGCGGTTTGTTGGCTTAGATGTGCCAACGCACCGAATCATTTGTGCCACAACCTGTCTAATGACATTGACCCGCATTTATTCATGGATTCGCAGCCCCAGCTACTTTCGTACACTTCCTGCTTCGAATCTCAGCTTCTTCTGCCCTTCATGTCAATTTCCCAAAGGTAAAGCGTCAGCTCGTTTCATTTACGACGAGGGGCTCCGGAGTAGCACTGAGCGCAGCGCCCAGTATCAGACTGGCTGGTATCCACCACCGAAACACGTCTAACGATGGGAGTGCTTGTACTGGGTTAACGATCAGTCACGCAACGTGGTCAGAGTGAATGTTGACTCACGCTTGCAAGGGCTGTCTGTAGCAAGGGAAATACTGTCGAACACGTGTCGTCAATGCAGTGGGTAAAATCTGCTCAAACAGACACGTGGCATCCGCTGAAAAATGTTTCAATATGATGACGGGTGACGAAGAACACGTTTACTTACAGATGGCCCACAGTAGAACGGGTGAAGACAGGGATACGAACTAGTATTGTAGTGAGCAAGACAAATAAACCTATTACAAACGGGTGACTCACAAGATCTTGATAGATCGTACGACTGCAAACGCTGCTTCACTGTCTGTGTCCATAGCTTTTGCGCTTGACAAGCTGATTGGTGGACATAACAATGCGAGGGAGGCGGATGATGAGGGGCGAGAGGAACCGTCAACCCAGTTGACAGGGACATGGGAAGAATCTGAACCGTCAAAGGCTGAGTACCGGGAGCGTAGACGTGAGTAGACGACTCACCTGAGATACCCGTTATCTCCTCGCCAATTGGTAATGCATATTTGCGCGGCGCTGGGACATTGATGGTGCTGGGCTTGTGGAGTCAGGGAGGTTGGGTCAAAAGAAGTAGGTCATAGTCAAAGCTCTTGGTGAGAGCGACACCGCCAGACGTTATTCAAGAGTGTATTTGACCTAGGGTAGCTCTTGGTCGGTGTCCAATTGGACGTTGACTTTGCGCAGGGGTATATTCGAGTATACGAGCACAAAGTGCAGCCCAGGCGGCATGACCCAGGGGGCGCGCAAGCACACCCAACACTGGTTGGAACTCCACAGGTTGGAACTGCAGAGCTCAATTAACTCAGCTTGGAACTGTCATGGCGGTGATGGTGGTTGTGGAAGATGAGAAATGGATTACATAATGCATGGTGAGCCTTGTTTGTAGGGATGAGCGATGTGTGAGCCACAACTCATGCAAACAACGCGTCATGGGAATGTTGTCACGTGACATTGACTACATCGGGAAGCAAGAAGTTGAGATAGGGGGGTCTTCATATAAGAGGTATCTCACCTGGATGCGTTGTTCTGGACGAATGTGTTGGTGTAATGGCGATATTCCTTTGCGAAATTAGATTTAATAAACACTAGTTAGTTAGCACAACATACTATGAGAATGAGGACACCATAAAGCATTATGAATTACATCTTCGCGTAAACTGGCCGACTCTAAAAGTACAACGCGGTAGTACATCTAACTATTGTATACACAGTGTCCGAGTGGTGCCTATCCGACAATGATAATAAAGTACATGGCAACCGAAAGTCCGTGAGAGCAGTGCGAGTCCGATGAGTATTCTACAAGTCCGCCATCCTCTTGTTTGCTTCGGCCAGCGTATCCACCCAGTCGATCTCCGTTAACTCTGGAACGGATGATGCAAAAGCAATCAACAGGTCAAAGAGGTTCGGGGTAGCTCTGGTGGGGAGGGCCATGAGAGGCGATGCCTTGAAGAGCCAGAGGACGAAGGAGTCGATGTTCTGAACAACGGTGTGGTAGTTGTGCTTGCCAAGCAGTCCAAATACCACACGTTGCAGCGCTGGGATGCAGAAGATGAGATACGGGATCCCGATCCAGATGTCCTGGAGAGCCTCGCTGTCGCAATGACGTTCCACAGGATGGTGAAAGGTCATGCAGCCGCAACAGGAGAAGCACAGTATGCTTTTGTTCACGGCTTTGCGCATGGCCTTGCGGAACACGCTCTTGTAGTTAGCCATGTCGATCAGATCGCAGTAACGGAGGTCCGAATGCTGGTTGATGAATGAGAGGGAAGATGATATACCGTGAAGGGGGCAGGTACCCATGTTGTCGTCCATGTACTCGCTGATTCTCTTGCAGTTTCAGCTCGCGTTCCATGGGGATGGTCTTGGGATTGGATGAAGTGGTGTCGGGTGTGGGTGAAGAGGGAGGCTCGATTCTACGTTTCTTGCTGGGAGGCTCGCCGGGCAACTGTGAGAATGGGGTGGCTAAGCCCACTCGGTAATTGCCCTGGGACGGGGTGCTACAGCCAAAAGTGGATGATTCTGCTGAATCTGAAGGCGAGTGAGAGATAGGCAGGGGTTGTGCAGTTATCTTGAAATTCGTCAGTAGGGGGAGATTGAGTAACGTAAAAACTTACAGTAATATGGCCAATCAAATGCAGGTATAGGGCCGCAGGCAGCCCCGTGAACGAGCATTTGACGAATGGGCACTGATAGCCTTTGGAATGTATCTGTCTTGCAACGACAAGAATACCTTGAAAGTAGAGTCAGTAATATTTTATACACACGCGGAGCGCCTCCACTCACCAAGCAAGTTGAAAGTTAATTGAGGGTCTTCGTTGTGCACAGGATACGTGCCTGACCATATCGGTGGTCGGTTTGTTGCAGAAGAGGCAGCTCTGCAAGGCTTGGCGACTGAGTTTTGGAGCAAAGGGGTGAGCCATGGGGGAAGGAATGAGGACGATATAGGATGGTAGGGAGATGGGGGGTTTTTATATGTCGAGCAAGTCTCCGGGAGACTAGGAAAAGAAGCAGCCGCGGAGACCGGGTGGTGGAATAGAAGCATCACTGGCAGCTGTCAAACTAAGTAGAAGACGCTTCCTATATGCGCGTCATGAAAGCAATTTGATCGGCGAGTAGATCATTTACGCTAGGGTCAGTCGCGATCAGCAAAGGTAAGATGTGATTAGAGAGCGCAGACAATCACCCTGTTGAACATAGATAACCAAGGAGGACGCCAGAAAGATAACCTTGAAGTGGGATAGGTGCGTCAGAATGCTGCCCTGGCAGATATAAAACTCAAGCAGAAGCATGCGTACCTTATGAAAAACCGGAATAACATCGGCGCGAAGCGTCCAAGTGCCTATAGGAGAAGCATGAGTTAGAATAATATGATGGCTTAAAAATACTAACACTAATATCAATCATGCTCCATCCATGAGCGCATCGCTGCTGGAGGGTTTGGGTAGCATGCGGAATTCTTTGTAGAATGCGATAATGAATGCATGGCACCGGGGTATCTCGTCAGGGCTGGCAGGGTCGTGAGTGAGCCATTTTTTCAGGGCGCCTAGGTTGCTGAAGTTGTTGAGATCGACACCCAGATGCTTGGCGATCTTTTCTACATATGGGTTCTTCATTTGGGTGCCGATCAAATCCTTGTGGGAGTGGATGGTGCTGATGACGTGAGGAAGGATAGAAGGAAATTTGGCACCATGGGGACATGATGCGTGATCGTGCAAGGAGCCCTCTCGGAGGGGCGGGTGTAGACACTGGCTTCCCGAAATGGGATCCAGCACATGTAACAAAATGGCCAGTGAGTATTGTCCGTCCGTCTAAGTGAGACAAGTGAGGAAGCCTTGGAGCTGCACACCTGGCGAGGTTTGGATGCTTGTGGGGATGCGGTTGGTGCTGATTAGTTACCCAGCATTCGACACAACCGGAAGCAACTATGACGTTGATAATATGCCCGAGTACACGGAGCTGCTCCAATCCGGAGGAGTACTGGGCGTCAATGGCTTGGCCTACTGATTGGACGGACAGGTGCTCTGGGGCAGGCAAAAGTTGTTTGACGGGAGCAGTTACACGTGAAGAAGAGACGCCGGCAGGGGGTAGTGGGTTTGTTGCGAGACATCCAGAGTGCCTGCCTCACGGTAATGTCTGCAGACTAGAAATAAATCAGCCATCGCTACGATTGTTAGACCCGCAATTGATCTCTTACATTTTTTGTGAGTTGGCAGTTATCACAAAGTAAAGTGCCAGTTATTGAGGAGCAGGAGTGAGCGTCAGGGATCAAAATGCTGAAATGTGAGACGGCGACAAGCCCTCCGTCTGTATGAACTCCCTCATAGGGAGTACGCCGAGGTGTTCGTCTCTCTTGAGGCTCCCCATACATTGGCAATTTGCTGTATATCAACACTGAAGATGACGGAAGCCCATCCCTTCCTAAACGTCCGGTCTCCTGCAGGAAACGAAGCATGTTATTGACCTCCAAGTGGATAACGACCCGGACTCCAGGAAAATCAATGCCCTCCCCAAAGCAAAGGGTGGCGATCATCCATCTATGCTTGGGCGTGATGCCATCGCGCCAGGCCTGAAATCTTTGTTTCTTCTCTTGTGTATTTGCGCTGTCGTCCAGTTTGTCGTCGACTTTGCTGGTGTAATACGGTATGTCAAGAGCTTGGGAAAGTTCTTTGATGAGGTCGATCCGTGTACAATAGATAATGCCTCTGTCGTTTGCGTTGAGAATGGTGGATTTAAAAATATCGGTGAAACGCTGGATGACTTCTTTCCCAGAGGTTTTAATCACGGAGTAATGGATGTTGGGTCGATGCAGGGGAGCTCTGATAACTCGGACCATGGAGGGTGGTATTGACATCTCAGCGCAAAGTCTTGATAAAGACAGGGGTGCCATGGTCGCTGTGAGAAAAGTAATCGGTTTCTTCAACCGGGTGATGAGATGAAAAAGTTTGAAGCATGGTCTGTAATCGTCAGAGGTGAAAACGTGATGCGCTTCGTCGATGAAGACACGCTTAAGTCTATAGCTGATCGAGTTGGCCCATCGATAAAAGTCATCGGTGCCAGCTTGGTGTGCTGATACAATGATAATCTGTGCGGACAAAACGTCTCTGACGTGGTGATACTGGCCGCCTGGGATGGTTGTGCTGGATAAGCGTCGAGCAAGGTCTTCAGTCAGGGCGACTAGAGGAGTGATGACTATGAACAGACTGTCAGGAATGAGTACGGGGGCAGCAAAGAATGCCAAGCTCTTTCCACTGCCCGTTGGCATGACGCAAACGACATGGTCGCCAGTCAGACAACTCTGCACAACTTCTGCTTGTTGCGGAGAGGTGAAAGAAGGGGTGGGCTGTCCAGGGAAGAGCGGTCTTAAGCGTTCTATGAGGTTGGGGTGAACTGAGATACGCGGTAGCGAAGGCCCTGGGGGAACTCCCAAAGGCGTTATGGGGGTTATTCCTAATGCAAGGATATATTGGTGGAACATGGCCTCCATTTCTTTAAGGATGCCGTTGCCCATGCTGGTCGCGACATTTCTGAGTTCGTCAACAATATCAACACCCATCAACACGGTTGCCTGTTGAGTTGCGCTGTGAATGGTGGTCTTCAGGGGACCCAGCAGCCTATCAAAGAGCTGCTCTTCACGATCGCGCTCTGCAGAGTGCGATTCTGGTGACGGCTCCTTGGCGCCGTTCTGGAATTGACCTATGGTTGCGTGCCATCTTTTGCTGACTCTCTGCATGGACGAGACCGCTGTGTGAGATATCTCCATGAGTGCATTGGTAGATTGCAAAGCATAATGTGCCTCTGCAACGGACTGGGAGTGACCGAATGCATCGTGAATCGCCAAAAGTCCTGCGTCTTCTTCGTCGATGATGCCAAAGTCAACCTTAGATATGTTTACGAGCATGGTGCTCATGAGCTGTCTCCAATCCCTCATGCCTAAGGCTCGCCCAAGATACCGTTGGGTTATGGCGCCGATGGATTGTGAGAAATCGTGGGTGTTCATGGGGGTGCCGTCGCGAATGAAGACGTAGGAGAGGTATGATCTGGCCTTTGACACTGACATGACAAAGGTCGCCAGCTCTGCAGCTGCAGGGTATATAACGCCTAGCACAACCAATAACAACCTTGACACGGAGTGTGATGGGCAGCGAGCGATGAGTTTGCCGTGGCCTTGGATACTTGCAGTCTTTACGTAGGTAGTTGAGATGGTGAGGAGGCCGTTGAGGATGAAGATCTGTCTGTCCCCCTGGCCGTCCACTTGGAATTTTAGATGATCGCATTCTGTGCCGCGAGCTCCACCTCCCCATGTCGATACGACGCAGTAAAACATGATGGAGGAAAGTTCATTCAAGACCGCGATCCATTCCCAAACATTCCCTATGCGACAGTTAGCATTTACATCGCGCTTAGTTGCACAGTTGGCTTACCTGCATCAACGACATATTCTCCTTTCACTCTGGAAAAGAAGCTGGCATCTTTAGCAAGGTGCTCGAGAAGGCGCCGCTGGTACTTGTGCCAACCGTTCTCTTTGAAAGAGAATACCGATGTCTTCTGATCTGCAGATTGAGGTCGGTCTGTGAACCAGTTGCCAGGATTATTTGGGTCGGTACAGGAGTCAATATGAAGTAGGATGTCGTCCCATTGGCAACCCCGGAACAGCTCATCCATCTTTGCCTTCAAGTCGTTCAGCGATGAATTAACCGAGTTCTTGAATGTTTGCAATGGTATAGGGAATCCGTCAATGGACACCACAGTCATCTCAGCATTCCACGAAAAGCGAGGGAGTCCGGGTTCTGAATATGACAGAGCAGACAAGAGTGCCATCTTCTGTCGTAGACCAGTAAACAGAGTTTGAGGGCCGTCAACAAGGTACCGTTGGACGAGAAGCTCGTACGTCCTGTGTAAATGGCAGTGAGTGCAAAGTCAGGTGCAAGCTGGCGATGATACATACTTGAAGGAGTTGTTCTCGTGGTACGGCATGTTCTCAATGATCTCATAGGCCGCAGTTGCTCTGAAGCACCATTGGGCCTGACTGATTGTTGGTGGCACTTGAGGTGCTCGGTTGGTGTTGCCATAATCATCGGAAAGGTGATACGTGAGGAGAAAGAGTGTGAAGAGGTCTTTCATTTCATTTTTCAAGAAGTCGTCACTAACGCAAGAGAGGAGGGAAAACACGGTACGATGAACGAGGTCTATGCAGCGTTGGTCAACACGGTCGGAGCTAAGGCCCAATGAAGATTGCAGATGAGCATAGAGCTCCCTCAAGTAATGACTGTGCTGGGGATGCAAAGGCACATCGAAGTTATCGACGGGTTGGCACAGGTGGCGAATGAGAAAAATGATGAATCTCGACATGAAATTGGCATATCGTTCCAGGGTTGGGTCTTCCTGCGGACGGCGGAACGGTGCCTTCTCTGTGTTACCAGAGGGGCTGGTGGACGCAATAGCTCGAAGGGTAAGGGTTGATAATCGACCAAGATTGGCCGCAATGAACTTGTAGTAGGTTTGAGTTTGTTGGATGAGGTACTGGAATGCGGGTTCGCCCTCGGGCTTCAAGGCAGTTTGGCGGAGGGACTTTAGGTCAACGTTCTCAATGCACTGCTCCCAGTTGGTCTGAGCTAAAAGCGGCCCCCTGGGTCGCTTGTTGACGGCGGGCTGGTACTTGGTATCCCTGGAGTATAATCCGCATTTGTCAATGTGGGTAAGAATCGTCCCAAGGGCGTTCCAGTCTACGATTGTGGGGGAGCTTGCTACCTCGATGTAGGACATGGAGCCCCTAAAAATGCCGATCCGGTGTCCCTTGGTTAGGATGTGCGAGCGAAGCGCCAGCGGAACTTTGCCATGGGAAAGAACGCAATGTTTATGAAAGGGTTTGATGGATCTGAACAGGATTTTGGTTGTGCATCCCTCTATGGTGCACTTGAGCAAGTCGGGTATGACGCGCATGCCATCTATAGGCAGAAGTAGATTGGTTGGCAGAGGCTTTGGGAGATGGGCGTCCAACCCACGCAGGGTATTGGAGACGCTTTCCTTGGATGGCAGCGATTTATTGGAAGTTCCTTTGGGCTTATGCTTTCTACGGCGGTGGCCGTGCGCTTGCTCCCATGGGATTGCGACGGCACAGTCAAGGCATATGGTGAGGTTAAATATGGGGTCAACGTGGATGCCCCAACTGCGGGCATGAGCTCTGAGCTCCACTGGATCTGACTCAGCGTCAACGTCCATTGACGGAAGGTCGCCGTCGTTGTCTTCAGAATAATCAGATGCGATATCTTCCTCACTAGCAGAATCGACGTCTCCATCGTGGGCTTCAGGACGGCTTATTGCTGCGCCTCCATCATGGGAGACAGACGTCAAGGCCCTGCCTTGAAAGAAACGCGTAAGAGAGGATGACTCGCTTCGATGGAGCGTTTGAGAGCGGGCTTCTACGGCTGCGTGTATGGGATTGACAGGAAGTTTGAGAGTGGGCAACGGATCAATGTCCATCTCGGGGTGTGGAACAAGGGAGTCGTCAGGGTAGCGGACTGGGTATGGGGAATTATCCTGGTGATTTTGCACAGGCTCCGTACTGACGGTAGCCACTGGAGACTCTTGTTCACCTGATACGTCTGCGGTAAGCTATGAGCTTAGAGTCACCATGCGTGGATTGAGAAAAGTACATACCTTCAGCGGGGTCCATACAGTCAGGGGCTTCATCTTTGGGGTGGGGGGATTTAGATAACAGCTTCACGAATCGATGGTAGTCGTATCGAGAATGATCACGACGTCCACATGGACAATGGAATTGCCCGTCTGATTGTCTGAATATTTTCACTGTATTAAGGTGAGTATATGCGGGTCAATTGCGCATATATGGCACTTACCTGCCTCCTCTCCCCATGAACAATTGATGAAAGCGGTGTGGTACTTGTTCTTGTGCGTTTTCTCTTTCTCTCCAGCTTGATAGTTGGGACGCGGGCAATTTGGTGTTCGACACCTGGAAGGTTTTTGGTGAGATTTAGGACTTGCCCTAACTTAGGGGATACATACCGTTTGGGCATTGATAGCAGAGGGTAAGGCAGCCTGGAGGACTGCAATGGTGGTTTTAGATTAAGGCTATGGCGCTGTAATTATGTATGTGACAGTATATATAACTCTATGATGTACGCTATTATTAAATTTGCGTTGAAAAGCTATTTTTAAACACCAAAGTAGCTTTAGGCGTCATCAATGTAAGTAAGGCTATTTTTAAATGCCAAAGTAGCAATACGTGTCATATAAGTAGGAGAGTGAGGAGGGAAAAACCTATGGAGAGTTTCGAGGATCTCCGTGAACCAGTTTCTTACTGACATTTATGCTTGTCCAGCGAAGATTTCGGGTCCATGATTGGGGATTGCGATAATCACAATGTGCACACTTCACCGCAGGAGTTGGGCACACGCCAGATCTCACGTAGATCCTTTTTTTTTTTGGCTGTTGTGCACCGGAACTCGCGTAGTTCCACCCAAAAAGGGCCTGACCTGCTGCATGAAACATGTAGCACATAGAGTGGGGGATGACTGGTAAACGGTGTCATGCTGGTAAAGGATGAAGAGAAAGAGGTTATGTAAGCTGCGTGTTGGTTCATTTGTAGGGTTGAGGTGTTCGTCTTACATAACATGTGGAAAGTACTGGACAGCATGTGGAAGTATCAGAATTGTGCGCTGAATTATCATAGGATGATGAGAGGACATACCCGAGCACAAAACACAATCACATTAACGAACGTCCTCAACACGACTTCGCGCACCGAATAATGCGCAAAGCACGCAGGTGAAGAGAGGACTCTGGGAGATACCGGGTATGGTTATAGACGACAAGGTCAGCGTCTATCGACCAGTTTAGCGTGACGAGACGGATGTCAGCAGCAGAATAATGTAGACGAACTTTTCGGATTTGAGAATAAATCCAGTTTACGGTGCCCAGCCATGACCGCGTGAAAGGCTCTGTGCTCCGCAGCTTGAATGGTGAAGTGGCTTGATCTTGAAGGTCTTCGCATAGAGGGACGACGATCTGAAGAGATGTCAGCAAAACTCAAAGCTTCAATGGTTCAACTTAACTTGATCACTCAAGTCCTGAATTTGACTGATTATAATGCGAGTCGAGAATCAAAATGTATTATGTATTGATGAAGATCAACATATATGCATAAAAAGAACGCGATCGTCTGATGATACATCGGGTTACGTGGAATTGGCCGATCAGCTTGGTATAGATACATAAGGTTGCGAACCTCCCGCGCTATTCAGCCCTGCAGCTTCTAACAATGCAATTTGAGATACGTTGGACATCTCTCTAGTT